GGGACAACTGCTTGAGGCCGGTCACACACGGCCTGTTTTTGTTTGTTCTTTTTATTTGGTGTGTCTCAGTAGCGTATTTATCATTTCTGCCCTATGACACGGCAGCAGAAAGCGCGGTCGTTGTTAATCCGGGCCCCGACCGATCCGGCATGCTATTTTGTGATTTACTTGAAGTCATAAGATTGGAATGGGTAACTGCTTTTAGTCTAACCGCTATCCAAACAATCTTCCTGGCATGGTAGGACCTGCAGGAACATAAGTTCCAGCCAGTATAGCTTGTTGGGTCATTGCAGTGTTCAAGCCCGACCACCACGTCAAGGTAGCAGCTTTCGGTCGGGCGACTCCACCCGGTAAAAATAAAACTACTGCTATCGAAACTTCAACGTTCTAGCTTCAGGGCATATGTTCCACTCGGAAAGTAAAGGAATAAAATACTGATAATACTAATAATAAATAAATTATGTTACCACGTTGTGCATGCAATGCATACAATTAAACAAATAAGTGTAAGTCTGGGGTTGATGAGTTTAGTTGAAAAAAATCTTTGTTCAGTGCATCAACATTCAACGCATGCAACAGTGTAGGGGATCAAAGAAGCCCGTGAAGTCAATTGAGTTTCAGACATTTCACTGCCAACGATCAATTCATTTTTCTGCGCAGACTGAAACACATGGTGGTCAGTATCACTTTCAAGAGACAAGAGGTTAGCAGTGGCGTTGTGGTGTAATTGTGTACCTCTATAGTCTATTCCTGTCATCGCTAATAAATACAATTTTGAGTAGTCATGAGAGTTATATTCTCCCTTCACTAATTCCATTATGGGTAAATTTTTATTTTTGATAGAGTCTCACAGTGTTATACAGTAATTATTAACTGGTGACGTTTCGAGCACAAACTATTGCCACTCATAATCATATCAAGTTACTCACACAACTTCTTTCCTTCATTTATATACATGTGTGGAATCGATTAGATATTGGAATAAAATTCAATATGAGATAATGTACATTCAGAAATAATAGTACGAGTGTTATTAATCCATTACAATTAGATGGGAAATACGACGAGTGTTTTTATAGTCATAATAAGTTGATTGTTAGAATGTGTTTGAATGGAAATAGATTATTTATTATCCTCTTCTGATTTGACTGGTGGCAATAATACGAGTGTTATTAATCCATTGCAATTAGATGGGAAATACGACGAGTGTTTTTTACAGTCATAATAAGTTGATTGTTAGAATGTTATGATGTGCTTGAATGGAAATAGAATTTTAAGACTATTTATCATCTTCTTCTGATTTGACTGGCGGCAATAATATCTTCCATATTTCTGGTATTTGCATTGAGTCACTTCTGTTGCATGTGTTGGGTGTAGATTCGATGAACAAAGATTCAGTAATCAACCTCTCTCTCCACCTACCTAGATTACTTTTTAGAATTTTAACCCTCTCCCACCCTATTGTGTGGTTGTGTGTTAATGCATGCATTGCGATTGCCGAGCTTAATGTACATTATCTCATATTGAATTTTAGTCCAATATCTAGTCGATTCCACACATGTATATAAATGAAGGAAAGAAGTTGTGTGAGTAACTTGATATGATTATGAGTGGCAATAGTTTGTGCTCGAAACGTCATCAGTAAATATTACTGTATAACACTGTGAGACTCTATCAAAAATAAAAATTTACCCATAATGGAATTACACTCTACCACAGTGCCCAAGTTTTATTCTTATATCAATGATACTTATGGTCTTCCTACCAGGAAGCTTATCAACAAACTCACACGACTTTGTCAAACTGAAGCAAGATTCACAAATCATCGGATTTTTAACAGTCGATGTTTAAAAAATCATATAATTCCGAAATATTTACGTCTACGTACTCCAATTACTTCAAATAAAATAACATCAGCTGCCGAAAACGTCAGTAGATTATGTCTTAGAGAAGAATTACATCGAGTTACTGTGAAGCTAAATAATATACGAAATGAAATTGAAAAACTCAAACACAAACTCAAAGATATGATCAATGACAAAGATTATACAATTATTCTTGAAACATCCAAAAAAGCTAGAGAATCTGCATTAAGAAAATCAAAAAACACACAAATCAAAAAATTCAACAAACTTATTGAAGAAAAGAACACAGCAAATGAAATTGATGTCAATGCTTCATCCTCTATCGACAAAACAAAGTGGGTGATCAACCTCTCATCAAGGGAACTAAGCTCCAGTAAGATAAAAGTATTGGAGAAAGGACTAAATTTCAAAGTAACAGTTAATAAACTAAAACCAGAGGATGTCATTCCTAACATAGAAGTAGCACTAGGTTCAATAGATAAAACAACAGCAGAAGAGGTTAGAGCACAATGTGCATTAACCCTAAAAAATCAAAAGAAGGCAAAATCAAACTTGACAAAATCGGAAAGAGAAGCTTTAATTAATCTAAAACAGGATAAAAATATTGTCATCGCAAAAGCTGACAAAGGAAACGCCACCGTAGTTTTGAATAAATCTGACTACATCAAGAAGGTCACTGAACATATTGAAATGGGTCCATATGAGGAAATCAAGAAGCCCGTAGATACAATAATGAATAAGGTTAAAAAATCCACAGCGGAATTAGTACGCAGAATGAAGCCGTCACTGGGTGAGTCAAAATGGTTTAATTTAATGCCTAAAACTAATAATCCTAGTAGAATGTATGGTACTATTAAAATACATAAGCCAGGTTATCCCATAAGACCAATAGTAGATTTTAGAAATACCCCTACATATGAATTATCAAAACATTTAGCTTTAATATTATGCCCCATTAGAGATCGTTCAAATTCTAGACTAACTAACTCATATGAGATGAAAAATAAACTAAATGACATACAACTAGATAATGATGAAACAATGGTTAGTTTTGATATAACCAGTCTTTACACTAATATACCAGTCAATATGGCCTTAGAAGCAGTTAGAAAAGAACTAACTGCGGATAGTGAACTCAATCATAGGACAAAGCTGTCCATTGAGGAAATTATTTTAGGGATTCAGTTATGCCTCACATCTACTATCTTCAAGCTCCAAGGCAAAATATATAGACAAACAGAAGGTGTAGCAATGGGATCACCAATATCCCCTATTGTAGCAGACATTTTTAAGGAAAGCTGGGAAAATAGTGCTCTCAATACATTTAATCCTACTCCAAAAATATGGTGGAGATATGTGGATGACACTTTCACAGTGTTAAAAACAGAACATATCTCTAGCTTCTTGACACACATAAACTCACTAGTGGAGGGAATAAAATTCACATTTGAAACCGAAAATGAGCAAGGAGAATTAGCTATGTTAGATTGTAAAATAAAACGAATAGAAGAAGGCAAACTTCACACTAGTGTTTATAGAAAACCAACGCATTCTAACAGATATTTAGACTTTAATTCATCTCATCCTGTAACTGTTAATGCAGGCTTAGTTAAATGTTTAACAAACCGAGCAATGGCACTAAGTAGCACAAAAAAAGACCTTAATGATGAAATAAAACAGATAGAAGAGGCGTTGGTTTTTAATAGCTATCCTCTAAAATTCATTAGGAAGATTGAAAAACGCCAAAAGAAAAATAAAAAGAATTGTGAAACTAGTGGTAATAAAATAAATAAGAGAGAATATAAGTCATCTACAGTTATGCCATATAAAGAAGGGACATCTGAGACCCTACGTAGGATTCTAAATAAAGCAGGAATTAGGGTGGCATTTAAACCTACAAACTCACTCAGGGACAAGCTCTGTAGGTTAAAGGACCCAGTGGACCCAATTAGACAAATTAATATAATTTACAAAATACCCTGCAATGACTGTGAAATCAACTACATAGGTCAAACTAGTAGGTCAGGGGTAGTCAGATTGTCAGAACATAAGAATTTAGCTAAGGGAAAAATGATTGACCCAGAGAAGATAAGTAATTTAGAAAAAAGCTCGGCAATCGCAATGCATGCATTAACACACAACCACACAATAGGGTGGGAGAGGGTTAAAATTCTAAAAAGTAATCTAGGTAGGTGGAGAGAGAGGTTGATTACTGAATCTTTGTTCATCGAATCTACACCCAACACATGCAACAGAAGTGACTCAATGCAAATACCAGAAATATGGAAGATATTATTGCCGCCAGTCAAATCAGAAGAAGATGATAAATAGTCTTAAAATTCTATTTCCATTCAAGCACATCATAACATTCTAACAATCAACTTATTATGACTGTAAAAAACACTCGTCGTATTTCCCATCTAATTGCAATGGATTAATAACACTCGTATTATTGCCACCAGTCAAATCAGAAGAGGATAATAAATAATCTATTTCCATTCAAACACATTCTAACAATCAACTTATTATGACTATAAAAACACTCGTCGTATTTCCCATCTAATTGTAATGGATTAATAACACTCGTACTATTATTTCTGAATGTACATTATCTCATATTGAATTTTATTCCAATATCTAATCGATTCCACACATGTATATAAATGAAGGAAAGAAGTTGTGTGAGTAACTTGATATGATTATGAGTGGCAATAGTTTGTGCTCGAAACGTCACCAGTTAATAATTACTGTATAACACTGTGAGACTCTATCAAAAATAAAAATTTACCCATAATGGAATTACACTCTACCACAGTGCCCAAGTTTTATTCTTATATCAATGATTCTCCCTTCACTAGCTGGGACTGTGTTAATAACAGCCTGACTACCAAGTTAGGTGGGTCAGGCTAGAGAATCAGTCAGCAGATAGTATGGCTAAAGCTCAGGTACTACAGGATAGATGGCGACACAGTAATTGTGAGCGTTATTTCTAGGGGAAGTTAACTGAAAGCAAGCTCAAATCTGTTCAAGCAGTTTTACTAACTGGTTTCTTAGAGCACAATAACGCAACACCAGCTCTTCATAAACATATATATATATATCTATTTTTCACAATCATACTATGACATAACTCACCATCATGTACTTCTCTCTTGTGTTTTACTAAATTCCACTTTCGAACAAACGACAGTTCACACTCATCACACTTGAAATATACACCTTATTGTTTAAAAAAAGAAGAATAAAAACAGAGTAATGAAAAGCGATTTAATTAATAACTATAAGCAACCACACACTGATGTGAAATTTTACCACAATATAGGCAATGTTGTTACTATGTCAGTGCTAATAATTTTATCAGATACAGAAAGATTTGAGCGTAGAATACAATGCGAGGAAGATATCTGTTAGCAGATAGGATAACTAGTCTTTAATGTTCAAGTTGGCGTCGAGACACACATACATTGAAGAAACCAAACAACTGGTCAGAAATTAGTTGAGCATGGTCACGGTCATGCTTAAACATGACACATAATTATTAACCAAAAATAGTCTCATCCTGACTGACAGCCTGGATAGTTTCAACAGAGAACTTAGCACAGAAGCGAAGTAATTCAAGTTGCCACTCTGCATGCAGCATACAAAGGAAGACAAAAGAGAAAAAAAGGTATTCGGAAGAATGATAATAAGAGAAACGTGAGGGAGGAAAGGAAAGTAACGTGGAAGAAGAAGAGAGGTTTATTGGATATGAAAAATTACAAATAGTGGATACATCTGTGCCAGACATCACTGAGAACTATTTCGAGCTATATCACCAACAATTGTCTCCAACCATCAGTCTTTGCCCTCCCGAAGATCCCAACCAGTCAGTCAGCAAGTTTACACCCCCCTACGTGGCCGGCTTAAACAAACTGTAATGGATTACATTGACTGATGAAGACAAGTTTTGATCTGACCACCATGTACTAGCTCCTCTCCAGCCTGATCCATCCTATATCAGTCAGCTAACATTGTTCATCGAGGAAGGTGATGGCTAGGATAGGTATGAGTAAAACTCGTCCTGACCTCATCGATTGATTTTCCCTCCTAACCTGACACTCAACGCCTTAAATCAATATTACTCACCAAATTACACCACTTAACACGGGAAGAAGCGCGCAGATACCTTTGGTCTCCCACTTTCAATGACCATATGTCACAGCCAGCCACGAAGGAGGACGGGGTGAACTGCTAGGCAGTCGACATGTCCTTTGATTGACAGCCAGCCAGATATCACACCTGCGCCACAAATAATATATTTTGGCAAATGCCACATGAACCTTTTGTAACTGCGCTTAAATTTTGTCAGCAACCAGCCTGATGCAATTTCTCAGATAAGTGAAATGGTGAACACGCTCCATTGACCTCTTCACTCCCTATCTTTAAGCTAAGAGTCGATATAGTCCAGTTCTGTAGCATCATTTTACATTTGACAAGAGCGAACCACATGCAAAACATATGGGCAGCCAGGAGGTACACACATCCTAAAGCACATGAAACTCTCCTGATCATCTCAAACACATATGTAGATGCAAGTTAATCTTAATCAAAGTTCACAAAATTCATTGGTTAAAGACTGTGTGTGACACGCCTCTAAATAATCTACTTCGATTTATGTGTATCTATCCCGTTACATTTGCAATTCCAAACACCAATTATTCATTGAACTATCCTTCCTCCTTGTATTTCTGTTCACTTTCTTCAAGTGTGCCAACATAGACAGATACCAACCACCAACACTATGCAATATTTTACGTTGAACTGTTGTTAGTCAGAATCATTCAATAAGGGCAGCATAGAGTAAACAAAAACAGCAACTAGACAGTTTCCCTACTAATTTTGACTTTCTGATTACTCTTTTTCTCCACTGAACTCATACAACATTGAACAACACTTAACTTCCACGACACAATAGTAGTCTCTAGCCGATGACAAATCCTTGAAGTATTCATTTCGTTGCTAAGGATATATGTATATATGCGATTGTACAGCATGAGAATGATACCGCCGAAAAGAGTAACTCTTCGCTGAACGTCTTTTCTCTTATTTGACTCAATGGGAATTTTTAAGTTGCTGGAACGTTGGAAAAAACTAAGATTAGCAAAAAAAAATGACAAAAATAATATAGAATTGAAAGCCTTTGTAGAACTACCGTAGAAAGAAGGAACGTCAGAGGCCTTACGAAGGATTCTCAAAGAAGCTGAAATTAGGGTGGCATTTAAACCAACCAACTCACTCAAAGATAAAATTTGTCGGCTTTAAGGACCGAATAGAAAAGTAATACAATTTCCCAAATACCATGTAATGACTGTGAGGTCAATTAAAGCATGGGTCAGACTAGTAGATCGGGATCAACTAGATTATTGGAACGTTAAAATTTCGCTAGACCTAGAATGATTGACCCAGATAAGTTCAATAACCTCGAAAGAACAGAGCTCAGCCATTGCGCTACATTCTCTTATTAAAAGGTAATATAGTTAGGTGGAGTAAGAGAGAGGTTAATCACTGAAGCCAGATCTCTGTGTACAGGAAAAGTTCGTTCAAACCCTCCAACTTTCATGGTCTTATTTATTTTACTTTTTATTTTGATTTACAGCTTGATTCCACACCGTATTTTCAGTACAAGTATGGAATTTTCAGCATGCGATATCGGTAGCCCAAATTCAGGCCGACCATAGATATCGGGTGTGCGCCAGCAGGGGATCGAACCCCGGACCATCTGCATGGTCGGCGAGAGTCCTAACCACTGTGCCACCGACGCACTCTATGCTAAAGTATGCTAATCCCCAATCATATTTTAGCTCTACCAATTCTTCATTTTTTCATTTTTGCCTATTCAATTTGTATACTCTTCCTTATTAAGTCAATCGTTACTATTACTACTCTCACTTTTAATTGTCCCCGGTATTATTTCACTTGTTCCACTTGTCATTCTAAATCAATTCCTTTATGCAACATTAAATTCTATGCTATAAAATTTCACACAATATTACGTAACGTTTTTTATTTTATTCGATTAATCTACTAATCTTATAATTGCACACCATTTTCAAGTTCTATCCATCCTATGAATTATTCTATATATGACATTAATTTCCTTTGCCACTTGATATTTAACTACGATTATAATCACAAACATTTTAGTTTTAATTGCATTTCATACTAGCATTATTATTATTATTTTATGCATTCACACCTATGTTTCAATTCCCACACCGGATATAACTTCTTAAAAACCATATATATATACGATTGTACAGCTTGATGATAAATTCGTTGAAAAGAGTCTCTTCGCTGAATTATTTGTTTTGATATATATATATATATATATATATATATATATATATATAATATATATATATATATATATAGTCATATAAATTTAGTCACAGTCTCACAATTTGTTTTTTATGAATATGAATATATAAATATGAGTATATATATATATATATATATATATATATATATATACATAAAACACCATTCAGTGCTTAATACTGCATCTTCACTGTGTGATATTTGAAGTAAATTTAGTCAATTTCGTGTCTTGAAGTTAAAGGTAGTGCAAATACTGAAATAATAACCATCATAATAATAATAACGGTAAGAGATTACTTTGTTTAGAATGGTTATCAAAAGAAAGGCAGAAAAAAGTGCTTACCTTTGTGTGCAGAGCGTATGTGTTCATTTAAAGTCGCCTTCCAACTAAATGTCTGTTCACAGTGGTCACAGTTATACTCTAAACCTGTGCAAGATAAAAAACAAAAACTACTGTTCACACGTACTGTAGTTATCTGTTCACTAATCAATCATATATACATTACAACCATAATACATTACTGACAACAGCTCATTTCAAGTAGACAGCACGATTCGAATGGCTGACTTACTTATTGAATAAAGAAAATAGTAAAAAGACAGTTGCAGTGAAGAAAATTGTCTTTTCGACTAAATCATCAACTAGGCTGTAGTACATTCGTGTATTTATAGAGTAAATGGGTGAGAAGGCTCCTGAAGTATTTCCGGTCAAGGGTAAAATTAATAAAATCACAAAGTGTACTGAACAGGCAGATGAGGTAAATAGACATAGTAGGATCATAATTATTGAGAAGCTTAACGTAGTATTAATGTGGCGAGTGCTACTGATAAGATTTATCAATAGTATATAAAGAGACATTCATCAGCATAAAAACATCAAACAGCATGAAGATACACTTGATGTCAAAGAAAGCAAATGATACAACGTTGTGAGAATACATGGGAGACGAGAAAAGAACACAAAGAAACACAATACGAAGTCCAGAAGTACCACAACACGAAGATCTTTCGTTTTTTACCGCTTCAATAAGAAAATGAGCAGTAAGTTTGGATAAAAAACATGGTAATGCAGATAGTAGGAATTAAAAAAACATGAAAATAACGGAAGATTAGATAAGAAAGGTAATAGGATAATCATTATTGAGAGGAATGACTTTTTCTGAAGGTCATGGTAGGGACAATGATTGGACGCAGTTCTCTTGAACGCATAACATCGGCTTGAACTTTTGGATCGCTAGTGCGTCAGTTAACTCCAGTTACCTTGATAGGTTGGATCGAGCCTTGTATGGGACTTTGAAGGACATTCCAAATAGATCTGACTTTCCTGAGTTCACTACATGTTCCACTAACGAGCCATATACATACCTATGCTCTCCCTTTATATGTATCTGTGGGAGCAGTTACATTGGGAGAACAGAAAGAATAGCACACCTCCGATTTTATGGACATGTACCAAAATGCCTAGGCGACAAACGGTTTCAATCATGCCACTCTCAGGCATCTCCTTCACACGGGTCATGAGGTGAAGATCGCAAAAGACAAAAGAACTCAATTCTCCTCAAATTTGTCGAAGCAATCTCCATCAGACGTCTAAAACCTGATTTAGGTGTTTAGAAAGAAGCAGTTGTCAGTCTTTCCTTTCTCTGGCAACTAACAGGATGTCTTTATTCTCTATTTCATTTGATAACGTAACGCTGAAAATCCCATTCTGTATAATTATCATTGTTTGGAATAAAGCGATTATTATTATTATTATTATCATTGTATGCATACATTGATGTTTTTGTTTAAACTTGAACTCTCTGGGTAAGTGCATAAACTTCATAATATCTTTAGACTGTAAGCATCTGATGAGAAGCCAATGAAATAACCAATGATGCTGGCATTTTTGATTCTCCACATATCACTGTTGTTTTAGCTTTATTCAAATTCATAAAGGAGAATAAATGTATGAAATTTTGTTTTGTTTTATTTTGGCTGATGAAAAGTAAACCAGCTTTTGTAAATCTGTGAGAACTAACAGTAAAACTAACTAACTAACATCAGAAGGTGAAATGGCAAAAGGAACTTTTCATCACTGTAGACACTGAGAATTCAATAAAATTTAATCGTTAAGCAAAATTTCTACAAATAATAATCACACAAACTATCATCATCATCAGCAACAGAAACAGCAGCAGCATCACTCACTCACTCACTTGTATGAAGTGCTCTGTAATGTCTATCCAAGTCTGACTTATATGTGAACCGTTCATCACATTCTTCACATTTCATTCCGATATCTAAAACAGAAGTAAGAAGTTAAAATGATGCATAAAAACAGACAGGAAAAATTTCACTTGTCATTAAATATGCATAGTGGTTAGGATGCTCGCCGACCATGCACATGGTTCGGGGTTCGATCCCCAGCCGACGCACTCCTTTACCTCGCTAAGCCAGAAATAATGCTGGTGAAGAGGAAAGGTTGGGCATGAGGCTAGCAACCCCATCCTGTAAAATAAGCACTGCTACAGAAACTTCAAGTCACTAGCTTGAAGCCCTATGTTCCACTGGGGAACGTGAAGGAAATAAAAAAAGAAAATTAAATATGCACAGGAACATTTACCTCCACACACCCCTAACATCTCTTCGCTTCGGCTATGATACTACCAACCACCTACAATTAACAAATATGAGTGTAAGAGCAACCAGTTCAGAGAAAAGTCTCTTTTCGCCGGTGAATTCATTCACTTAGCTGTACAATCGCAATGATGCATAATTATTTTTGGTTTGTATGTGTGTGATGAATAATCAAATTATAACTATGGCGAGAGTAGGGGAGAGGTGAAGATTGGTAAGTCTTGACTAGGATTACATAATACAAAAGACGTCCAATTTGCTTGTTTATGTGGAGCAAGATATACGTCAATCGATGCATGTTTACTCTAAAAGAGTCAAAGGACATTACCCGCATGACTACGAAAAGGTAACAGTTGATCAATAAGGATTACTATAATTGAACATATAATCAACACTGGTCACTCAATACACAGTTTGTGAAGTTGCATCAATGACCAATGTTAGCTGACTGGCATAGGATGGATCAGGCTGGAGAGGAGCTAGCATGTGGTGGTCAAACAAAAACATGTCTTCATCAGTCAATGAAATCCATTTCAGTTTGTTTAAGCCGACCACGTCGGGAGGTTGGGATCCTCTAGATTCCAATAACCAATGGCTGGAGACAATTGTTGGTGATATGGCTCGAAATGGTTCTCAGTGATGTCTGGAGCAGACGTATTCACTCTGTGATTTGTCATATCCAATGGAACTCTTTTGTTCTTCCATGTAACTATTCTTTTTTGCTTCATTCACACTTCTGTTGATTATCTCTCTTCATTCTCTTCTCTTGCTTTGTGTGGTACATGGAGAGTAGCAACTCGAGCTGCTGCACAAGTGTGCGAAGTTCTTTGTTGAAATCAATCAATTAGAATTAGGTGAAACCAAATACACACTTTGGAGACGTACGCTGAAGGCAGCCGAACGCTTTAACTAATCAACCACATTAACTCAGCAATAACAATATTAAGAGTGGAACAAAAATCGAAAACATTGATAAAAACAACAAATCACATAATGAAATTGAAAAAAACTAAAGAAATCAACATCTTCACCTACCTTCATGAAGTTTTCGATGTATTTGAAGTCCTTTATGTGTTTGCAATTTCTTATGGCAGGTTACGCATTCGTAGGCTTTACCTTTTGAGTAAATGCAATAAACACAGTATATCAAGAAGTATTACGTCATACAGCAATCAAAACAATTTCATGTATACCCCAAGTAAACTTGAAAATAGGAAAATGCCTCGCCTACTCTCTAACCCCCGAAAATATCCCCCAAAGAAGGTAGGCAGTGGGCTGGTAACATCGTAACAGGAGTTAATAATTATTTATGTATTTAAAACACAATACCTGTTGCTACATAGGCATCAAGATGAGCTATACAGTAATAACAAAACAACAGCACACTTAAAAAAATAGGTAGAGATTGTATAAAGGAGTTCTTCCCGAGAGGAAGTAGTTTATAATTAACAAGACCAAATAGCATTCGTCGACTTATTGTCAGAAAGCGGAGAAACAAGGAAATTGTAGCAATTTCACCGTTGATGATTGCGATTTTTGGCTACATTCGATAACGTTTTAAGCACCCGATTCCAGCTGTCTCTCGGACCCTAAACGGGGAGTCGTGATGTAGCAACCAATGCTAACCCACCACAAATATCTTCTGTCCCACGACGGCAAGTCATGGGCTGATCATCTCTCCGCTTTCCCCATCTCGTCCCAGGGCTAGCGAACACAGACCAGTACGGAAGCCTCTAGGATGACATTCATAGAACATGCCCAAGTCACCGGAGCCGGTGCTACTAGATGACGACGGTCAACGAATGGTGATGTCTTCTGTGAGCAAATACATGCTGTCGGACCTCCAAATTAACCATACGATGATGCCATCGGACCCAAGCAATCCTACGGAGACAAATGGTCAAATACACAGAGTTGCCACACATTCTCAGCTCGAAGGGGCAAGGTAGATAGTGCGCACCAAGGCGTTGCAAACCCAACCTTTCACAGTCAGGCTAACGTCGCGACAGCGCCAGAGGTGACTCAAATTAGCATATGCCACTCTAACTTTCATGACACGGTTGGAAATCTGCCAGCACCCGCACAACTACCCAGATACATGGACTTATTGACAAATTCAAGCGCTCCACCTGCGAGAGTGAGTGCAGGTGCAGGCTCCTGTAAATCTTGTAACAGGACTATGCAATTAAGTGGCGCAAAGGACATAGCATACTTACAGACGCTGACCGCCAACTGATCAAGTGCGATTTGGGCAGCCCGCGTGCTATCGCACAGTGGGACGATATCATCTATATACTTGAAGCCGCGAAATCTCCAAGAAACAGATCTACGCCATCACCATCCAAGTCCTTTAGAGCAAACTCCAGAATGTTATAAACCTCACCCATGAAAACTAAAAACACACGTGAAAGACATTGGGGTTTGGCTTCTTATCATAACACTGAATGTATCCGTCTCTAACGTGACTGAATATTTAGTAAACTTTGAAGTGATTTTGTAGTTTGCTGTGAAACAAAACGGTATCGTACAAAGAAACAATCATTCATTGCGTTTTCAAAAACTAACCTTCATGTTTAACACGAATGTGTTCCTTCAGATGACTTTTCTTTGCAAAATCTTTGTCACACTGTCGACAATGGACTCTTTCTAAAAATTAAAAATAAAATAAGACGATACAAACACTCCTGAAACTTTTCAAATATTTCATGAGTCATATAAATTAGTCATTACAATGACAACTGTTGTTTTAGATCTATTCCTCTTATAGTTAGCAGATAGGACACCATCTCAATACACTATCGAATAAAGAAAAGGTGTGAAATTTGAAAGAGACATTTAACAGGCTGTTGACAGGAACATTCAATTACGCGAAAACTGTGCGTGCAGGGGACTACAAGTTCTACCCTCATACTGAATTCCTATCAGCTACAAACTAGACCTCATAATTTGCGTTTTTATTAACACAGTTTCAATACATCGAAAGAGGCTAGTGAAAATACAATGGACGGACTAACACAGTTGGGTGAGCTCAGAAACTCCACTGTTTTCAGAGTAACTATAAACTACACACAAATACAGTAGACAAAGTGGTTAGATCATTTTAAATGACTTTGATTGTATGCCCTTGAAACATATTGAAAGGTGCTAGTGGCTCAGCCATGAAATACTCACCAATAATACACTCCATAACTTCACTTGACACACTCACTTCGACACAGAACTTTGCAGATATGTTCAGGAGTTCGACATGCGACTCTCCGTATACCATGTAAATCAAGAGAAGAGCGTAAAGACAGATAATAAACAGAATTGTGAGTGAGAGTAATGCACGTGTAGAACCTGGGCATTGTGGTAGCATCTAATTCAATTTTACATCAGTTTATTTTAAATATCACACAGCGATTCAGTATGAACAACTGGATGACGTTGCCAGCATAAATTATTGCGAACAATCATATCAATTTTAGTCACACAGTTTCAAAATTTGTCACATATATATTTCTTCTGTTTTTCTGTCTCTCCAAATTTCCTTTGCTGTTTGTTGCCATTTTCCATATCTCATTCTGATTGTACGTGTGCTGTGTTGAATCGATGAACAAAGCTTCAGTTATTAACCTCTCTCACACTCCACCTAACTGCATTACTTTTTAATTCTCTCGCCCTGCCCCACTCACCCTGTTTTGTGATTACATGCAAGTGAATGCAGTGCAATGGCTGAGGTCTGTTTCTTTCCAGGTTATTGAACTTATCAGGGTCAACTATTCTAGGTCAAGCTAACTTTTTATATTCTACTAATCTAACTAACCCTGACAAGTGAAATATACAAAACCTCTGCGGAACAAGTCAGAGCAAAATGTACTTTGACACTAAAATATCACAAGAAAGGAAAAAGCAACTTATCACAAAACGAAATAGCAGCACTAAATGCTTAAGAAACGACAAAAACATAGTGATCGCAAAATCGGACCAGGGTAATACAACAGCAACAACAAAACTCAGCGCCTAACTTCATTATTGCTCACCCTATTCTACCACTTAAACTAACATTGGAGATAGAATGTAGACACCTATGGTCAGAGACAGCTAGTCTTTGCATGTCTTCCACTTTCAGTGTCTTTGTCTCAGAGTGATAGAGGAGGACGGAGCGAAATGGTAAGCGCCTCACTTAGGTGGCATTAAGCGCGGAAAAGGGGAGAGGTTGGGGGCATGAGATTAACAACCCTATCTATTATAAAGGAAACACTACTGTGCTGTTGAAACATCAAAGCTGAAGCTTGAAACTCCATATTCTACTGGGAATGCAGAGCAATAAAATTTTTGAAAAACAATAATAATAGAGCAAATTGAATGCATAATCAACACGTCTATAAACAGAGTCTTACTTCTTGTATCTCCCACAGACTTTTCCACTTGGCTTTTTTCTTCTGCCTCAGTTGGACATTCGTGGTTTTCTTTTTCGGCCTCAGATGGACATTCGGGGATTTCCTCTTCTGCCTCAGTTGGACATTTGCGCTTTTTCACAATAACTGGAATATACAAAAAGTTTCAAGAGATTAACGTATTTCTTTTGGATACAAAGAGTGGGTTTGAGTTAGCTATCCAAAAACTCAAACCCACTCTTTGTATCCAAAAGAAATACGCCCAACCCCTGTCCCTGCCATGGCCATCATAAACAGGTAAATTTTTTAATAATGACCATCCCATCGCCTTTCGTATCTAAACTTCCTGTTTATTCAATTTTTTTTTAAGTTTTCTTAATCCCTGTCTACACTACCATACTTTCATATCCACACTTCCTGTTTATTTTGTCATTTTACTATTTCTACATATTTAATCCCTGATTGCATAAACAATTATTCATCACACTCGTTTTTTATCCAAACATCCTGTATATTTTGTTATTTTTACATTTCTAACCCCCAACTGCACAATGTCAATCTTCTTAGTTATTATGCTACTTTGTTTGAGTTTCACCCATCCCCCTGTTTATTATGGCATTCAAATTCCTAATTGTAACTTTTAGTAATTCGACCCCTAACCAGAGATTATTCTGGAACTTTCCCATCCATTTGATATAAATACACGAATGTACAGCCTAGATGATGACTTTGTCGAAAAGAAAATTTTCTTCGCTGCAACTGTCTTTTTATCTCCAAATTTCCTTTGCTGTTTGTTGCCATTTTCCATATCTCATTCTGATTGTACGTGTGCTGTGTTGAATCGATAAACAAAGCTTCAGTTATTGACCTCTCTCACACTCCACCTAACTGCATTACTTTTTAATTCTCTCGCCCTGCCCCACTCACTCTATTTTGTGATTACATGCAAGTGAATGCAGTGCAATGGCTGAGGGCTGCTTCTTTTCCAGGTTATTGAATTTATCAGGGTCAATTATCCTAGGTCAAGCTAACTTTTTATATTCCAATAATCTAATTGACCCTGACCTACTAGTTTGACCTATGATGTAATTGATCTCAGTTATAGTCATTACATGGTATTTGGTTAATTATCATATTTTTCTTAATTGGATCTATTGGGTTCACAAGCTGACAAAGTTTATCTCTGAGCGAATTAGTTGGTTGATTGCTTTAAATGTCACCTCGACTTATTCTAGCCTCATTGAGAATCCTACATAAGGCCTCTGACGTTCCTTCTTCATACGGCAGTGCTACAAATGCTTTCAGTTCTATATTACTGTTGTCACTTTTATTGCTAATCTTAGTTTTTTGCAACGTTTCAGCAACTAAAAAATTGGAAACATTTATTTCCTGATACAAATTTAAAACAAGCAATAAAGGTTAATAAGGCAGGATTTAATGAATTCATCAAATTTCGGTAGAACTCGTCAGCTAAGTACTCTACATACACGGATATAAGTACCTTTGAAATTACATTACATTCAGTCGAATATCTCCCAATGTAATTTCAAAAGTATATATATCCGTGTATGTATAGTATTCAGCTGATGAGTTCTACCGAAATTTGATGAATTCATTAAATCCTGCTTTATTAACCTTTATTGCTTGTTTTAAACTAAACAATTCCCATTGAGTCATATGAAAGAAAAGACGTTCAGCGAAGAATTACTCTTTTCGGAGATATCATTCTCATGCTGTACAGCCGCATATATATAGTTCATTTTCTTAGCAACAAAATGAATATTTCAAGAATTCGTCACTAGAATTGTAAATTTTAGTTAACAAATTACATAATGTAGAAAGCGTTAATCGGCTAGGAACTTAAGTATAATTATTAGAATTGTAAGTTTCAGATAACAAATTTCCTTAATGTGTTAGAAACTAAATTAGGATTATACGAGCAAGTTGAATGACGTAATCCAACTGACGTGGTTGAGTAGAGCTCAGCTAAAATTAAAACTGAACTAAAGTCAAGTTCACAACAGTGGTAATAAGGAGTAGAGATTTAATAAGGGGTGGGCGAAAAACATTATACAATTAAGAAACAAAGAAGCAAGAAAAAGACGAAAAACGTTACGTATTTGGTGTTAAGTTAGGTCAAGTTCACTGAACTGAAAGAGAATTGAACGTTTGGGGGTGCATCTCAATAGGAATTCCTTCAAATATTCAGTAGGTATGGTGATATTCGTCTGCTTTGAGTCAATATTTTCACATATATAGCATATTGTTTCGGTAAGTGGGACGTTTGTAAACAGTGATACCACATCTAATGAGAACATGGTTTGACTGGAAACATTGACGTCTTCAATGGGATTGACGAAATCGAAGGAATCTCGGAGTAAGTGTCAGGAAATTTGCCGTCTGACTGGTTCTAGTAGGTCTACTAGCCACTAGGCAGTACGATGATTTGGTGAATTGGTCATATCGAGAATGGGTCGAAGAGGTATATCTTTCTTGTCCACTTTCGGTAATCCATAAAGATAACTAATCAAACTTGTTCAAACCACAGAAGCAATGGCAATCCACATATTAAAATCTGAACTCTGAATACAGATGAAGTTTGTTCAGTCATTAAATCTACAGTGAACTCGACCTATCTTAACACCAAATACGTAACGCTTTTCGTCTTTTTCTTGCTTGTTTGTTTTTTAATTGTATAATATTTTTCGCCCACCCCTTATTAAATCTCTACTCCTTATTGCCACTTTTGTAAACTTGACTTTAGTTCAGTTTTAATTTTAGCTGAGCTCTACTCAACCACGTCAATTAGATTACGTCATTCAACTTGCTTATTTAATCCTAATTTAGTTTTTAACCCATTAACGAAATCTGTTATCTAAAACTTACAATTCTAATAATTATAGTTAAGTTTATATGTGTGAAAAAATGAGGGATATGTTGAGGTTTCAACACAGTGATGGAATGTGTTATCCACATACCTCCACCATAACCAAGGAGCAGGATTAAACGTGGCTGTCAACAGATTAAAATCTGAAGACGTCATTCCCCGTATAGAAGCAGCAACAAGTGAAATATAGAAAAACTTCTGCGGAACAAGTCAGAGCAAAATGTACTTTGACACTAAAACATCAGAGGAAAGGAAAAAGCAACTTATCACAAAACGAAATAGCAGCTCTAAATGCTTGAGAAACGACAAAAACATAGTGATCGCTAAATCGGACAAGGGTAATACAACAGTAGTCATGGACAAATCAGATTACATAAACAAGGTCAGTCAACATATTAAAACAGGACTATATGAGGAAGTTAAACAACTTGTGGACAATATTATCAATAAAATCAAAAATCCTGCTATGTGATCTAGTACTAACTGAATGATTTTTTTCCATATAAAACTTTACACATATGTGCAGCAGTTCAGTTGCCACACTCCCTCCTTGTACCACACAAAGCGAGAGAAGAGAAAGTTTCAAAACAGAGATAATAAATTGAGCTACGAGGCAAAAGAATAGTAATATGGAAGAACAGTTGAGTTTTATTGGATATGACAAATCACAAATAGTGAAAACATTTGCACCAGATATCATTGAGAACCATTTCAAGCCATATCACCAATTGTCTTCAGCCATAAGTCTTTACCCTTCCGAGTTCCCCAACCACTCAGTCAGGAAGTGTACACCTCCATACGTGGCCGCCTTACACAAACTGTAATGGATTTCATTGACTGATGAAGACATGTTTTGGTTTGACCACAATGTGCTAGCTCCTCTCCAGCCTGATCCATCCTATATCAGTCAGCTAACATTGGTCATCGATGCAACTTCACAGCCTCGTCGATTGATTTCCCTTCCTTGCCTAACACTCGGCGCCTAACTTCAATATTTCTCACCCTATTCTACCACCTAAACTAACATTGGAGATAGAGTGTAAACATCTATGGTCAGAGACATCTAGTCTTTGCATGTCTTCCACTTTCAGTGTCTTTGTCTCAGAGTGATAGAGGCGGACGAACCGAGATGGTGAGCGCCTCATTTAGGTGGCATTAAGCGTGGAAAAGGGGAGAGGTTGGGGGCATGAGATTATTAACCCTATATATTATAAAGGAAACACTACTGTGCTGTTGAAACGTCAAAGCTGAAGCTTGAAACTCTATATTCTACTGGGAATGCAGAGCAATAAAATTTTTGAAAAACAATAATAATAGAGCATATTGAATGCATAATCAACACGTCTATAAACAGAATCTTACTTCTTGTATCTTCCACAGACTTTTCCACTTGGTTCTTTTCTTCTGCCTCAGTAGGACATTCGGGGTTCTTTTCTTTTGCCTCAGTCGGACATTCGGGGTTTTTTTCTCCTGCCTCAGTTGGACATTCGGGCTTTAGCACATTAACTGAAATGTACAAAAAGTTTCAAGAGATTAACATTTTACATCTAAATAACACTCGACATAAGCTGATATCATTCGACAATCATAGTTATACCAGATCGATATAGTTGGGATGTTTACTGTACAAGATGCAAGCAACCTACTTAAGTCTATTTAATTTCGTGCTCTTTCACTTCCAAAGCTACAAAATGTCAAAACCGATACATATTTAGAATTTGGAGAATTTACACGTATATATGTATGAACTGCTTCTACTCGACTTATGTATTAACATGATAGCATTAAGCAATGATGGATGGTAATGTAGAACACATAAAAAAAAATAGATATTCTGGTTCCCGAATAAACCAAGACCGGTAGGAAGCCACAAGGGAAGATACATTATCGACACAGAGACTTCAGGAGACAATCTCACGCCACTAATGTAGGTGCTGGATGAAGTAATTAAATCTGATAGCGATTGGAATAATGGCTACCGTGTGAAACTGCGTTAAAGTGTGATACAAGCCCATTCAAGAACAGGTGTGAAATCATGCTACTATCTACCTCAGACAAAGTATCAAACTACATCATACTGGAAAGACTGAAAGGTGTCAAGCATGGAAGGCTTCACAGGGAATAGACCGAATTCAGGAAGAAAAACTCCATGTGCAGACTAAATTGCAACACTACGCATCATCATCAAACTTTGTCCAGACAACTCTTCACATTAATCTTATCGATGTGGTTCGGAAACTGCCTCAACATTACAGAGTACCACAAATGTCTATAAACCTTATTCAATTACTATTATGACGATGCCAAAAGTCAAATAATTCACAACGTAAAGACAACCGGAGAGAATCTGTAGTGAAAACAGAAGACAAGGCCACCCTCTATCACCCATTATCGTCCTGATTGTGGTCGACTGGGTCATGTAACAGACAATAGAGAGTGGAGGAAAAGGATAGGGCACACTCCGAGAAAACTTCCTTGTAACATCAAACTTCAGGTCCTTTAATATAGCCCAAATAGGTAGCAACAATTTGGCCGACCGGAGGTAACATGAAGATCATGTGAAGAAGTAAAGGGCTGAGTTATCACAGAATCAAGCGAAAATAATAACAGAGAACCAAGTTAGATGCTGATGTGATACAAAAGCTTCGTGTTTCTCTCAGAGTAAGAAATGAATAATAACACCAATGATATGTTTAATCTATATCATATACAAATTTAGCACACCTAAAAAAAGAATTACCTGTTTCAACCTCAAACTGACAGTCTTCTTGTTTTACTGAGTTCCTTGGCCTTTTCGGCATTAGTATATGAACTGGAAAATACAAAACGTTTTAAAAAATCAAATAACATCGGCCATAAGCTGGTGTCTTCTAACACATATCTTACGCAGGCCAATCAAGTTGTGGGATCGATATATTTCAGCATCATGAGCTTCTGTGCAAGATACAGATCATCATCTATCTTAATCTGTCAGCGTGCAAAGTTAACTTTCAAAGCCACAATATATCAAAAGGGATGGAGACTTGAAATTCGGAGTAATATATATATATATATATATACTGACGACTTTTGGAATTAGACGCAGACTAACACTAACCGCTGTTCTACTTATTCAAAAAATGAGCTTGAGAATCGATTAGTTAGTGGATGTGGTGACGAATTAGGGTACAAATTGGTTTTCTGCTATTCCTTATAAGTAAACAACACCTACCTTTCTATTATTTTCACGCCAACCTAAAAATCATTTAGTAGTCTCTTGATTTTTTCATTACTCTGCCAATCACAGAATCTTCGGTTTTCCCTACAACACTTACCAGTTAATAACTTGCCCTTTTATTGCTTCTCCGTAAAACAAAATCTGATTTCAAGTGATACACATTCCTAGAGTACCTTGATATGATTATGAGCAATAAATTGTACTCGAAACGTCATCAGTAAACATTACTGTATAACACTGTGAGACTTTATCAAAATAAAATTTACCCATAATGGAATTACATTCCTAGGGTACTTGCGGACGCTTTATCTATGTTATCAACATTATCTTAAGAAGTAAACGAAGATGAAGTGATAAAATGACACAAAATAAGAGCTGAGCAAATGTGTAGTACTGTTTGAAAGTGTCATATGGATGGGTTTACAACATATATTGTGGCTCAATTGACTCTGCAAATAAACGACGAGTCAGATCAGCCCTAAACACAGTCTAGGTCTATGGGTCAATGCATTAAGTTGACGACACAAATAGTAAGCGCCGCTTGAACATTACATAAAATATCCTTAGGAGTAAGGGTTCACTTACACAAATCCACGAATGACCTTGGTGCCCCCAGATAAGCGTCCGTATTATAAGTGCCATCTATAAAAACCCCAACAAAAACACCTACAACTACGTTTCACCTGACTACATCCCCGTGTCTCTGGGTCGAACCTACTTCCATGCACCAGATCCTGACTCTACAAGATGGTTACTTTGAAGAATATTGAGACTTTACGCATCCTTGCAACATTTTAAACATTTGTAACAGCATCCACTTTCTTATTTCAATACTCCAAACACTTTTAGTACGAATGTACCACTTTTCACAATAATTAGTCTTGCCCACAATAGTTGGCTGCCTCGAAACTATCCGTGCATTCAAAGTTACCAATCATCATTTATTCGGCAATTATATACCAATGGCACCATGTAAAATCGTAAATAACTCACCAGACTGCTTAACTGAGTGGGAACACAGGTGCAGCCGTGGGCGCGAATACTCAAACTAGCCACGTTGAAATTGAATTCGTACGAAGTTCAAAAAAGAGATAAACAAACATTTCCTTCAAATAAGAATAATAAAACCTTTCTACTACAATGAAATGTAATTTTCATTTATTAATAGTAAACAAAATCGGCATTTTATTAGCCAAAAATCCTACTCAGGAACTCACGCGCAACTCTGACTTAACGAACCAATATAGAAGTGCTCCAGGTTTGAAGTACCCAACATTTTACGGAGCTTTCAGTAAAACTTTGAGTTCAAGTTTGTTCATAATACAATAAATCTGAAGAGGCTATCAACGCAATGGAGTCGACAGGTTATCGTTGAATTTTGGCTTAAATTTCAGATATGAAACCTTAACTTTGTTCCTCACTTTCTGCTTTCCATTCGCTTCCGCGAATGGACTATTTTTACAATATTCAAGTTGAATGCACGCACAAAAATACATGGAAAATTTCTTTAATATTACATAATTGTAAAAAAGAAAGAAGGAAATATAGAAGAAAATTTGCACAGCATGTTTTTTCCAGTAATATGTACTTTTACTGCAGGACTATCAGTTTTATGTATTTTTATGTGTGATTGTTCATGTCATGTGTCCATGTGAAACATTAATATGTGGTGCAAAAGTGTGATTTTAATATCTAATATCTATAAAATAATTAAATGTAATACAGGAATCTTTTCAATTTTGAGCATTTGGATGTTGCTTACATATGTGAATCATAGGATATCAGCGACAGTTGTGTGTAGCAATCGTCTTTAACATCGAAGAGTTTTATAAGGACAATATGCTCTTTGCGTGTACATAGTGTGGAGCAATTAGAAGATATAGAATAAACAAAATTGTCACGTATTTTAGGATGTTCTTAACAGTACTATAGGTTCAATGAGTATATATATGTGTATGAGTGTCATAATTTGTCTCGCAGTGTATTACATCAGATGGTAGTACAGTAAACGTTCACAGAGTAGTTTGATGTGACAATAAATTTACAACATCATTGATTCAATTGTTTTCCACGTCTGAGTCTATACGTTCCACGCATATAAGTATCATAGATTTTCAAGGAGCCTTTGATGGTTGAGATGCAGAGGTTCGAAATGTCGAAGGAGGTGAAAAACAGTCTGCGAAGGTATTTTGCAGAGAGTTGACTGATCATCCCTCGATAAGAGGTTACAACAGGAATTTGCAAGATTCTTTGAACCGTATGTCCCATTGCAGACAGGAACCGTTGGCATGCAGCAACCATCGTTGGAGTTCCGTATTTTGACATCGACACATGGCTGATATAAATGAAGGCGTTGCTGCAGATTGTTACGCCGAGAATGTATGATACTCCGTATAACAAGATAATTAGACCAGGTTTATAGAAAGACGTGGGCGTTGGAACACATGGCTCGACGTAAAATCTGGTATTCATTTTGTGCAATTTGTCAGCGATCAGCTTGAGGACGTAGTTGTGTCTCTTGCATCTGACGTCATGAGTTAGAGCGCAATGCTGAAGAATATGTTGAAGATTTTCCGGTTGACCACACCCGCCTCTGCAGTTGATGTCCGCTCTAGGACGTCCACGCGTACTTCTTGTTTTTGTGCCCAGGAGGCCTCCACACAGTTGAACGGCTCGTACATAGAGTTTGGGCAAGACCATTTCGGGGTTGAGAAGCCGTTTGTGAGATTCAGGACATTTTGTTGACTCAGTCAAACCGTAACCATCCGCCGATGAGTGTGGCTGTTGTGCCCAGCTTTCATGGGCTTCTTCTACTGATGTCACTATTTGTCTATGGGCTTGTACCGGAAGGTTGCAGATCCTAAGAAAGGGTGTGAAGGTGGCGGAGGACGCGATGCTGCGGATGAGCGGATTCCTGTTGTTGAGTAGTGCCTCGATTCTTTTGCGTCTATGAATCGGAATCGTTGTTGAGAGATTTATAATTCCCAGGCCTCCCTTTTTGATATCCGCGTGGAAAAATGCAGTTGGAGTGTCTTTTGGGAGGTGAAGCCAGCGGCGGACAGCTGCACGAATAAGTTTGTCCATCGTTTTCAGAGTATTCTTGTGAGTGATGCTGAGAGTCAGTGAATATAGTAGACGAGGAATCAGAGTGTTCTTCAGGATTCTCATTCGTTGATGAGGTTTAAGGGGGGCGCTTTTCACATTGTCTAAGTATTCACTGAGGACGCCGACATGGTTGAAGCAGCGCCTGCCCTTGTAATTGAAGGGAACACCCAGATAGGTAAATTCCTCTGTTGGCGAGATGGCTGGAATTGACAGGCAGTTGATATTGAAGACAGTAGGAGAAAGGGCAACGATTCTACGCTGTCTGTCAGCGACTATGTTGATTGTGCGGCTTTTGTCGACGTTGATCGATAATCCCGCCAGCTCCAGCGAGGCCGCGATACAGCTGAGTTTGTTTTGAAGAGCCGCAGCATTTGGAGCTAGGATGATGAGATCATCAGCATATGCTATGTAATGCAGAGGATGACCATCGATGTAGATGGGGTCATGGGCTTCAAGAACATCCAGCACCTCATCCATAGTCATGATGAAGAGAAGCGGTGACAGAGGGTCACCCGGTTTGACTCCTCGTGCTGGATGACAATTCACTTCGTGGAAGAGACTGTAGGAGTTGGAGTAGTAGTTTGTAAGATATTCTCTAAGCATTGGGGGCGCACCAAAACTCCCAGCCACCCTTAGAATTGTTTGATGTAAGACGCTGTCGAAAGCTTTCGAGATGTCGAGGATAGCTAATGCGCAACTTGTGTAGTTGGAGTGCGCTTCTCTCAAGATGGCGTGAAGTAGATTGGTTGCTTCGAAGCAGCCATCACGTTGCAAGAAGGCAAACTGTAGTTTTTCTATTGGGAATGATCTGGACCACCGCTTGGCGATAATCTTGTGCAGACAGCGCGTAACAACAGAAGTGATGGAAATAGGCCGGAAGTCGGTAGGGTTATCGGGATGTGATGTCTTCGGAATGAGGGTGACTCTGGAAGCTATATCCTCTTATTTGCATCATAAGTGAATACAACAGTCACTTTTCTCTTGTTCTATATTTAAAACTAATATTCTCTTCTTGGATCTTCTGGTTAGACTTAGTGACTGAACGTTTGCAGGGGATCAAAGAAGTTTGTCAACTCAGCTGAACCTCCACCTTTTAATCTGTCAGTCCGTGCGGACTGAAACACACGGTGGTCAAGATAATTTCTAAGGGACAAGAGCTTGGGCGCTTCGATGTGGTGTGTTTACCTACTTATTAAGTCTCTGCTAATTATACTTAACAAATACATCTTTCAGCAGTCGTAAGAAGTACGTACCTGCTAGTTGACATGGTGTCCAGGACAGCCTGGCCAACATGTTAGGTAGGCCAGGCCAAGGAATCAGCAGGTAGTGGATAGAGCCCAGGTCTAGCAAGAGTAAAAGCCACGCAGCAATAGTGAGCGCTGTACTTAGTCGAAACTAAATGAAATTGAGTTCAAAGTCATTAAGTCAACCTAAACAACTGGCTTCCTAGAATCATAGAAGTGATTCTTGCTAGCATGA